TTTATGGAATGTCCGAACCTATATTATTAATTATTAATATATCAATATTATTTGTCCGAACCTAATTACGAAGCATGATTCTTTGTCAAGTAGGATTCCGAAGCACCAGAAACAGCCATGTAGGCTCAGCGCATTCAGGAATAATATATAGGGAGGATTTAAAAAAAATCAACGGGCATCACTCAATTCCGATTTGATTTATTAGCATAAGTTCCAACTCAAGCTACTAGGAATAAATCATCCCAAAGCACACTTAGCAGATTTATAAAACCGGACAAATATAGCATGCTCATGAATAAATTCAAAACAAGATCAATACAAATAGTTCAATACCAATATCACCCAATGCATGACAGTCCAGTTCAGAATCCAATCGCAACCCAATATTCAAAACAATAATATAAGTCTGGTAAAAAGATAACAAATAGCGGAAGCATGAATAGTCAATAACTAAAAAGCAAATATGACCCCACTCGCCCATTTTCACCGTTAACACCAGCACAACCTGAAAGAGAAAAAATAATGAGGGTGAACAAACCAACTAGCTCACCATGGAAATACCATGCAATCTATTCAATATAATGACTTAAAATCATAATTGCAGTATGAACACATATCATCTAGTCTACCTCTTATACCGCCCTATGCTCATTGTACACATCTAAACAGTCGGGACAACCATCAACGGGCACTAAACCGTCGGCAACAACATCAACGAGAGATACACTCTCATTTGACACAAAAAGGAGAACGTCTGTAACAACATCTGTTACATCAAAAGAGATACTATAGACTTATGGTTCACATGCATACATTGATTATAAAGTCAAGAAATTATGAAGAATGACAAACAAGGTATGTTTTATCAACACCCACATGATCAGTTGGCGAAAGCACAATGATCAGCAGGATGTAGCAGAGGGCTCGACTCTTCAAACACCTACATTTACTCAAGATAACACCTACATTATTCAATTTTCAAAAGAACGTCCTAATCCCTAAATCCATCTTCATCCTCCACTACCCCACCTACTGATGTCCAACCCTCTCTGGTTACGACATCTAGCGTCCATGGGTTCAACGCCTTTCCCGTTTGTCTTGCAGCTAGTCCCATCACCAACTTCCAGCTGGGTGGGTGAAATCGACGACAAATTGTGCGAGCTTCGCAATGTCTGACGGCGGGTTCCCGACGGCAGAGACCTGTTGCTGGAGTGTGTCAAAGATGGCTACAACTGATCGGAGCTTCATGGTGGAGGCGGATGACGACAATTGGTCGGAGCTCCTTCACGTCCGCTAACGCATATGTGTCTGGTGGAGCTGCGGTGGCGCCTCAGGTATGTTGGCGGCGGGAGGTCTCGACGGTGAAGGTGCTCTTAGACCTGTTGCTGGCGTGGCTGCCGATTGGAGGCAGCGACGGACACCGGCAGATGGTAGTGGCCGAGGCAAGTCAGTTGCGGTTGTGACACATCATGTGTGTGTGTGTGTGTGTGTGTGTGTCTATGTTTGTGTGTGGGTACGTAATGTGTGTGTGTGTGTGTGTTTGTGGGAGTGT